CCACCCCAAACCTCTCCACCAATACACGCACCCTGACCAATCCCATCACCAGGAAACACCCTTCCTGCCCACCATCCAAATAACTGGAAAGTGACCAATCATGAATGGGACTACCCTCCTGCTGCCGATGACAGTAACATTTAAAAGGACCTTTCACACAAATTCCACCATCATAGTGTTTCTTTTCGTTTAAAAAAAAAAAGGAATATACATTCTTTTTTTGACGAGTTTTCACTATTTAGTGCATTCAAAGAAAGAAAGTCACCATTTATTTATTTATTTTGTTTAGGTAATTCATTGAGAGCTTGAAAGCTGCAATTTGTTTTAACAGGACAACAGTTGAGAAAACAGCGGTAGTGAAAACAGTTAATAATAGGTAATGGGTAGTAAGTAAGTAAGTAATATCTATGAAGTTTTGTTAGCGAAAACATTCCGTCGTGTTGTGGTGTCATCAGGCGCTCGTCAAAATACAGAAGTCGAATTCTTCGACACTTTTCTGCCCGTTTGTCAATTCTCATCGAATTTTTTTCTTTCTTTCTTTTTTCGTTTTTTTTTGTTTCCGGCTTAAAACATACTCTATCCTTTTATAAACACATCGGTGTTTGGACTTGTGAAAAGCATTAGTCAAAGTCACTCCCCCCTCCCGCCCCCCCCCAAAAAGCTATTTTAACAAAATGTAAATTTGCAGTTTCTACGGACACTGAGTCTTTGGAAGTCACAAAAAGTTGGCAGTGTATTTCTCGCTAAATTCACCCCTGAAACCCAATGACTCCCATTTCCTTCAATCTCTATTATCTCAACTTCTATTCAGTATGGCTAAGTATTTTTTTCATCAAAACTTAAGACAAGTAAACACGTTTGAAGATTGTATCATTAACTCTATAACATATGCCTACCCCAAACTAGACGAGCGTCTGATTCCATCGCGTCGTGATACTCTCAAAAATGCGCAAAAAAATTGCAAGAAGAAACGCAGAAAAAGGAGAAGATTTATAAGTCCCCGTCGCGTAAACAAAAGAACAGACACCAGCAGAGATCTTCAAAGCCGCATGTTAGACATAGCACAAGACCAGACGCAGAACTTATCAACAACCATGACAGCATTATAAAAAGCGTATCACGCCAACCCTCCTAGCACCACATTTTACCGCCAGCATAATATCCACACCCCTCCCCTACCCCCTGCCCATCCCCTTTCCCTCCTTATTTTTTCATAAAGACATCAGCTCTCCCAACAATTCTGATACATGGAATGAAAGGACTCTCCGACAGCCGAGATATGCTCAGGATATTTAATGTTTTCATTAATAAGAGGACGTTGGAACTTCGCAGTACATCTTTCATATAAAGATTTTCTACGAGAGAGAAAGCATGTTTGCATGTGTTGTTTGTAAAATTTCAGAAAGCTCAGTTGTTCGCTGCCAACGGAAGGAATAAAACACGGAGAGAACATAGTTCTACAATAATATTAATTCTGCTTTGTTTCAGATACTGTTTTACTTCAGATCAGATGAAACGTTCGTATTAAATGTTAAAGTCGTTTTAAATCCAAGAAACAAAATTAGAGTATTTTTTAAAGACATAATTGAAATAGAAACCCATTGAATGTTTTAGAGTTGGTGCTTCTAGGGATTGTATGTGTTGTTTTTAAAGTACATTTCGCCGTCTTGGGGAGACTTCAACTATAAGGTGGTGCTGTTGTTGGTGCTGCTCACCATGGAACCACACACTCGCTTGAAAGCGCAAGTTTTCACAGTGTTGTGCGTTGTGTGCGCTACGGTTGGTCTTCCTCACGTTCCATTGCCTAAAGGTTTACATTCTGAGAGTTTTGCTGTCCCCCCGCTGCCTTCTAAACTTTCTGGGCAGGCTGAGGAGAAACATGGAGACGACGCGGAGATGAAAGTGCCACCTAGAGAGGTTGGTTGTGTTGTTTTTACTTTGAATCAGTTAGTTTATCCTTTCCTATCTCATATAAAACACACTCACACATGCACACGGATCCACACATGCACAAACACACGACATACACACACGTACACACGAAGCCATGTATAAATACATACAAACACACGCACATACATACTCACGGACACACGTACCCACACATATAGACACATGCACTTACATGCAGACACACATACACTAACACTCAAACCTCTTCCCCTTTCACCCTCCTCCACAAACACACATACAAACACAAACACACACATACACGCACACACACACACATACACACACATAACACATTAATGCAAACAAACACACAGAGATAGAGAGACACTCACACAATATATTATCTTAAATTATAGAACCTTTTACAACATGTAAATCCTTAACTGAGGTATTGTTCCCCTTCGCAGTTGTTGATGTGAAGTGACAACTACTCGACCGACTTAGCTTCGATTTAGATAGTTGGTTTTGTTTTCCACCTCATGAAAACTAATTCTAAGAGTTAAAAAAAGCAATTTATACTTTATTGATCCTTTAGTTGAAGAAATGGACCCTGTGCTTCATCAGTTTCGGCGACATAAAATATACATAACAGGCATCATGTCAACTCGTCCCACAAAATCTTGAACACCGTAAAAAGAGGCAGCAAAGAAAATGATGTGAGTCTAAGAGTATTAATTGTTGGCACGAAGCCATGTCTGCATTTCATAAGAAAACAAAATGAGATAATGATTTAATAGTTTAGCCACCTGTTATGAATGTCACCTAGCCAGCCAGCCTTGAGAGCCTTTAACACTAAGTACTCAGGCTAAACAGGAAGAGGCAGGCTGGGGTAAAAGATGGACTGAGGGAGTCAATGGTACTATGAGAAACTAAAACATCTGGATTGAAATTACTGCAGAGTTTGCCTACCACAAAAATGTACTTCCCCTCTAAGGTCAACGGCAACAGAAGATGATAAGTAAAAAAATGTAAAAGTAAAGTATCAACTCATCACATTACATCTCTCTCACTGACACACTGACTCACTCCTTCAGTTCCTCACTCCCTCACTCCCTCACTCCCTCACTCCCTCACTCCCTCTTTTGGGTTACTTGGAGAGTTTCAAGGATCTGTACCCTGCTACCTTATAATGACAAGGTTCTTTCTGACATTTATGCTGTTTTCAGTTACTAAGACCTTGAGATCAGAAACAGAATGTGCTATCAGCTTTATCAAAATCGTAAGATCATTCAGAGTCGTTATCAAGATATTAAAGATTAGATAAGGTAAGATAAGATAATATTTAATTATCCCAGACGGAAATTTTTTTGGGCTGTACAGAACCGTAAAAACACATGTAGGTGTATATAAAAATTTTAATTGTATATCACTCTCATTAAAATTCAATATGAAAAGAGAAGTTGAGCTGACAAAATGCACTTATCACATCAGATGCATCATTCAGCACATGCAGGAATTTAATTACAAGACCTTTAGAGTTATATAGATACATACTCGAAAGAGCAGTTCACATTAATACTTATTCTGATAATAGCCTTATGCTAGATGGTAAAAAAAAAACTTCTTTCATATCGTTCTTTCGTTATTTTTAGAGGTACATATTATCATTTTGAAAATTGCTTTAAAAAATTGTTATGATGTGAAACTCAAAATCTTTGACGTCAAATTTCTAAAAAAACAACTAGCTGACATAATTTTGTAATTCTTTGATAGCGATCTTCTTGATTTAAAATAGAAAACGAACAAAGATTTGAAGTCACGTATTCCGCAAAGGGAATAGCCTGTGAATAACGGCCACACCATAGTCGCTTCATGGTGTTGATTAAGAGCAGATACCCCCCCCCCCAAAAAAAAAAAAAAAAAAAAAAAAGGACAGATGGGTGACGGGGGATAGAGCAGGATATTTTTACGGGTTGTTGTTTTATCAGAGCATACGAGCAAATGTTTAACGGCGTTTGCAAGTGTATAAGGTCATTTGAGCGTACAGGACACATTATACATTTTGGTGGGAATTTTGAGTTTAGCTCAAGTGGCGACCGAAGCCTACTCTTATCAATTATTAGGATCACCAAGTGATCTCGAAAGTGTGCAACTTGCACATGGGACCTTCGAGATTTTTCGCCATATCCGAGAAGGCTAGGTGTTCGATATTACTTACCATAAAATCAGTGGTGTGACTGAAAGACAGCAGTAGGAAGGAGCCAAATAGTAGCTGTAGAAAGGCTGTAGAAAGAGCCAGAAACCCAGAGGAGGGGCAAAGGGGAGGGTGGTAGAGGCAGAAAATGTAAACGAAAGCAGACGATAAAACACGGTTGTTGAGCAGGAAAGGAAATGGAAGGAGAACATTTTAGAGTAGAAAATTGTCCGTCCCAGACATGTTTCGAACCCGAGACCTATTGAATGAAAGGCGAACATCACAACCTCTAGACCACGAGAGACCCATGCAATGAAATGTATGGAGAACCATTGTGGTACGTCCAGTTTAGGTCCTCATCTTAAAAACGATGATGATGATGATGATGATCATGATGATGATGATGATGATGATGATGATGATGATGATGATGACAACTGTCTGTCTGTCTGTCTGTCTGTCTGTCTGTATGTGTGTCTGTTTGTCTCACTCTGTCTCTGTCTCTGTCTCTGTCTCTGTCTCTGTCT